GAAAAGTATCTGATTGAAGGGAAGGAACAAAAACCATGCACATCACACAAGAGAATGAAGAAACTTTTCAGATTGAGTAATCCGAGTTGTTTTAAATCTAAAGTACATTGGTTAATCCTCAAAAGTTAAATTCAGATATTTTAAATTTATGTATATGTTATGTTTATTATTTATTGTAGTTTGATGTGTTTGTGTAGAGCCTTACTTCTTGTGGGTCTTTCCAAATAAATAAATAAATAAACACATTGGAATAACTTGCAGAGAGTTCCTTTGCCCACTTTTATGGAAAAGTTAGGTGATTGTGATTGGTGTTGATAGTTCAATTATCATTTTGGTGCCTCATAATGTGGTGGACGGACATGGTCTGAATGTAACTTAAATTTAGCTACCATACTTCCCCGATCATAAGCCCAGGAGCCTCAACATGCAAAATTAAGAAAACTAAGGGGTGGACCTATACTGTAAAAGGGTTAATTATTCACTGGGTTTTAATTTAGCTTATTTCGCTGACTGGAAAATGCGCTAAATTAAAACCCAGTGAACATGTACAATTTAGCATAGAACACATTATCTAAATGATATAACAGTGAATTTAAAACCCACTGAATATGCTTGAAATGGTAAATCAGCGAAATTTAAACCCAGTGAAAATTAGCCATTTTACAGTACTCAAGGACCACCTCAGAAAAGATATTTTGTTGGTTTAACATTGTAATCATCCCACCACTCATGAAATATTATCCAAATTACATCTTTCGTTCATCATGCCGGGCTTGGGGGAATATTACGTCTTTTTGAAGAATAAGTTGACACTGTTACAATGAAAAAACAAACAATACTGTAGAATACTTTATTTTCGCTTGGAATTAATTTTCACTGAAGGAATGATTCAGTGAAAATAAAATCCAGTGATTATACCTTTTTTTCTTTATTTTACATTAAACTTGTCAAAAATCAGTGAAAATAAATTCCATACAAAATAAAGTATTCTACAGTATGTGCATAAACATATGGACTTATATTCAGGGAGGAGCTTATGATCGGGGAAGTTCGGTAGTTTAGAACTCGCTTAGCGTGCTTTCAAAACTGACACACATCTTATTTATTCATTGCTAGGCATGAAGCAAGGATGTATCGAGATGCTAATATTGGTAAACGAGTTGATCGTTATGATGCGTTGTCACCGTTACCTGATGATACATTAACGTATGATAATAGAGGATTGTCATTGGCTGGACATAACGGTAGATGGTCTGTCGATACCGACCCAGTACCAAACTATAAAGCAGTAGTCAAAGTAAGAAGGCAGTACTAAACTA